TCTGGTTTACACTATCAAAGTTTCTGTGATCACAGTAGGAATTTTGCATTGGTAACGTTTTGAAGGATTTGTAAGAAATATTTGAGGGAACTGGCACAATGTTTAAACTGCCGAGTCTGTTCCCTCAAGCAATTCTTACAAATCCTTCAAAATTTAGAACTTACAACTATGCAAAATTCCTACTGTGATCACAGAAACTTTGATAGTGTAAACTAGACTTAAAGCATAGATTAGATAACCAAGCAAACATGAAGTATCAAAATTATATACGTGAGTAAATGGGGTTGGCAAAAGGCTTAACCGCGCGTTACTGAGTTTATCACTGCACCAAAGTAATGTCGAGGCTGCGTGGTTATAATTGAAATTTATAACTAGATTTTAATATAAATTCTTTTCAGGTAAAAATTACCCCCCAGCTTATTTACAGATATATTGTACAACTAGGACTGTGTATTATATCGGATATTGTTATTCATGCAACACGGTATCTCGTCATTATATAAAATGCTTTTTCAGAGAACCTTATTTGTATTTACCGTATCTAACAAAACATAAGAAAATGTTAATATGAATAATATGCGGTGTTGGACCAACGTTATATTGACGCGCTGCTCTGGCTAATTAATTCTATGCTTTAGCCTTTAGATATTTTTATATCCATGATTAATGTTAAATTGAGAATCCAGTTCTGTCACTTCTGTGTTCACGAGTTTTAATACCACATGCTATCCATAGCGAGTCACGTCATTTCTAGACAGCGAGCTTAATTAAACACGCAACGTTTTGGTCAACACGGCGGGGGGTACTGGATTAAAAACTATGTTTGTGTCAATTTGTGGTAATCTTCAACACATATGACAAAACATAAGACTTTTAAAACTTTTTTGCTTCCTTACATGAGCGCTATGATGCAGAAGACCGCCAATAATAGTTATACCAATTTTCGGGTGACAAAAATATCGCATGCGGAAAACCCATTGCCTTCACCAATTTCATTGTCATGTAAAATACCGCGAGTTGTGTACCAAAAACTGTACTCTCTTTTTGCTTTCATCCTCAGCCAACTTTCCCGACACCTCTTCATTCCGTGCAAGCCTTGCCTTCAGGAGACCCTTGCCACCAATCTTTAAAGGTACACTCTGCCTACCAATATGTTGTTTGACGCCATCAAAATTCTTACCATACTCGGACAACCCTTTCTGACTATACGCAAACCTATATGGTCCGGTTTTAGTCTTGGGTGGATAATTTTCCCGTCCTATGAAGAGTTCGCTGTTTTCAATCCCTGTTGGAATTCTGAATCTTTTGAGAGTGTTGGTGGTGTTCACTGTTAGATACTGAGTCGCCACTGGCAGCTTTCGCGCTATTTCAGCCCGCCCTACACCAACGGTGATATCAGAATGCCTTTGTGTCGCATGCGATTGTTCATTGAGTTTAGAACTCTCCTTAAGGAACCTTAGTTTCATAGGTTTACCCCGTTCCCCGACATCGGTTCCCCCCGCCGTTTTCACAGACCCTTCAACCCCCTCCTCTTTTTGCAATTCTGTCTTGAGGGTTACAACCTCTTGTATCTTCTGCAATGTCGACGTTTCATTAACAAGGCATCTTGGTTTCATGGGTGTAGCCCTTTCACCGCCTGCATTTTCACTCTTAGACCGACTCCTGACACCAGATTGCTTAATTAGCTCGTTCTCCCCAAAAGGTATTATGATTTTAGTCGATGCTGAATTTTTGGTGATTTGCGATTCCATAGATGGTTGTCCCGTACAGTTTTGAATGGTATGCACTTCGACAACTGGTGTTGGGTCATCCAGTGGTGTTTCTGGTAAAGCGTTTTGGTTATGCCCTTTTGGTGTACTTTGATCTTTGGCGTTAAGTTGAGGCAGTCGTGTGTAGGTAGTCTCGGAACCTTTTGAATTTAGTGGTGGTTGGGTAGTGTTGTCATTCCACGCTTCCTTAGGCTTGTCAGGTTTTCTAGCAAACTCATTTGAATGTTTTTGGAAGTTGACAACAACCTTATCTGACTGTTGTTGTTGGTTAGCAGTCACCTTATACTTCGCAGACTGTTGCTTGCTGTTTGTAGTAAACTTGTCAGTTTGTTCTTTCTGATTGACTAAAACTTTAGGATAAATCATAATACTTTCACAGCGTACCAACAACTCTTTACTCTGACGACGGGCACTAAATAGACCACTCCCTGTTCCTCTGTACATCTTCCTCAATTTCCCTCCTACCATATTGCAAGGTGTGTACATGTTCTCACCATAGACATTTTCTGGTAAACTCTTACGAAAACAAAGGCTGCCTAATAGGCCCATTTCATCATTTTGCATTTCTACTATACCCACACTAGGCTTCGTTGTTTTAGTTTCAACACGTTTACCCAAAGTTTTTTCCGCTGTGGAAGTGGTTTCAATTGAATCTTCCATCGATTCCATGGAAGTGGACAAGGCGATAGCTTGTTCTTTCGCTCCAGGAGTGTTTGAGGGTTTAGGGTTGAGTGTTATGTTGTTGTTTGGTTTTAAGGTAAAGTTTTCATCCAGTTTGGGACGTTTAAAAGCGGCTATTGATTGGCGAAGTTTCATCGGGGAACATTTGATTGCTTCAAAATACGTCTTTTTGGCAGGGTCTTGTTGAATCTAAAACATTAAGTTATTTAGGTGACGTAATATCAGTAATACTAAAATTGCTATAAATATTGGGGGAAAAGCTGATCTCAACTCACTCGTATAGGTCAAAACAATAAGTGACTGGATGGCACGGAGAACAGTGGGATTTCCAAAACAATGAAAAGACAATGGGACATTCTGATCACTGGATCATGACTGGATGACATGGAGAACAGTGGGGTTTTCAAAACAATGAAAAGACAATGGAATATTCTGATCACTGGATCATGACTGGATGGCATGGAGAACAGTGGGATTTCCAAAACAATGAAAAGACAATGGGACATTTTGATCACTGAATCATGACTGGATGACATGGAGAACAGTGGGATTTCCAAAACAATTAAAAGACAATGGAACATTCTGATCACTGAATCATGACTGGATGGCATTATTTATATTTCATACCTTATTTTCCCTCAGTGTTTTTCCCTCATGATGATGACAAGGAGATTTGAATAATCTACTCGGATGTTCCTTATCTGGCCTTTTTTCACTTTTCTCCGGCCTAATAATAAAAAATTCACAGCTGAGTCACTTGCACAATCTTCGTTAGGTCGATAAATGTAATCTCCTGGCAATGGACTCTTTTCCGGTTTGAAGCAACCCTTTTTGGCCCATTGAATGAATGAATGAACAACTTTATTTAAAGAGGGTAAAAAACACATGACAGCAATATAACTGAAAAAACCTGTGGCCCTCCTCATATACAATATATAAAGAAGCAAAAAATATATTGAAGAAGCTAACAAAAAACCTACCGTAATTGTACTGGTTCATCTCTTTGTTTTATATTGGGCAGCCATCTTGAGAGGTAGTCATCACAACCATATGTTCGTGTCATTTCCTTGTGATCCGCGTCACTTTCCACCTCACGCCAAACACTGTTGTCTGATGAATCAATCTCGTCGTTCGTGTCTTTAGCGCGAGAAATTCCCAAAAACGTCATTTTTAATATCCTACGAGAAATAAAATACTGCTCGGAAAAATGAACATTAATGTCTATTGGACAGATTTAGAAAAGACGACACGAGCTCAAAGACAAAGACGACTTGGATGCCGTCATTTGGCGCCAACAGTCGTCAGCTTCTGGTTTGCGTCCTCTCTAGAACGTCACAGATTTTGGCTTCTTTTGAAAAAAATATGAGAGTATGCATCATAAATATCGTATTTTGTTCCCCATGTATTGTTTAATGATTCTAGGTAAATATTTTTTTATTGACAAGGTTTTTTTTGTATTACGCTAAATTGTGGACGTGTTGATTTTCGACAAATACTTTCGTCGCCATAAAAAATCAACAAAAATCTAAATGACGAAAAACTCGTACACATAAACATCAAAATGCATTAAAAAATTGATCAGACATAATTACTTCAACACTCCTACATTGTATTTTTTTGTTCTTTCACCACATTAAAACGAGTGAATTGTACGAAAATTCATCAAATATTTTACTCAATTTAGTCCATTTTTCAAACTGTGCGGGAGTACAGCTGCCGTCCCGACGTCACAAAATAAAGCTCCCTGATTGGTCAAGATTTCTGCCAACCAATCCAAAAGCTTTATCTTGTGAGATCGGGATGGCAACCGTCATGGCGCATTTCTTTTTCTTGCCAGTGGGGTTTAAAATGCCAGTTATGCCACATTATCTTCCATTCTTCCTAATACTGAAATTTCACATATATTTGTCAAAGATATGTTTATAAGAGATTCACTTTCATGAGTTCACTTATATTTGCTCAATCCTAAAAAGGGGGACCAAATTTCCGAAGAGGGGTCCAGTATCCTAGGAAATATTTCGTGGGACACCGGAAGTGAATGCGAGGTGCATGTATCATCTTCACGTCGTCTTGGACGTCGGCGTCATGTTTTTTAAATCTATCTGTTTTTCCTTTGAACGAAATTTCGAGCTGCGAGCAGGCTAATTTGAATAGTAGCTCGACAATTACTGGCCTCTGTAGCTCAGTTGGTTAGAGCGCTGCATTGAATCGCAGGACCGCATGTTTAGGCGGACACCGTTGCAAGATCCCATAGGTGTTTGTTGAATTAGCGTCTGAGCTATCGTAACCCTGTTTAAACGCTGGTGCTGTAACTGACGAGTTTGAGTAATCAAAATAAGACTACGTGTTTGGTTTGCAAGATGGGCAGCTATTAAAACAGATTATATTATTGTACCTCTGGCTAAATGTTTTGTCTAGACGAACCAACTGCTCACAGCTTGATAATATTGTGTATAGTATCCATTGTATTAGTTTATACTAAAATGCCATAAAGGACTGTGAAACATAGTTATATAGAAGACTATACCTATCATTGTACAGTCGTTCTAAGTCAGCTATACATTTACCATGTTTACTATGCGGTCCTAATCTCATATTACCACAGTATTACAACACATTTAAATACACCATACAAATAATCGCCACCATAATATACCTTTCCAGCGTTCCTTACCTTGTATGTTATGGCTCTGTAACACGTCTATACCATTCTCACTTCGCTAATTCAGAGTAAAATTTCCCCAGAAATGTTGTTAATTCACACGCCGTATAGTTCCACAATTCTTCCCGAAGATTGTCCTTGACTACCGTATGTATACAGAAACGATCCTCTTATATTCTTACTTAGAATTTAGAATTGAACACCGGAACGAAAGACAAAAGTGTTAATGTTTACATACCATGCATTTACACAAAGTCACGGCAATTAATCAACATCACGCGATTTAAATAAAGCGAAAAACACACACTAACCCTATTTGTCTTGCGATCAAAAGCTTTTCCCGTAGACAACACGTTGACAATTGATGTCCCAACTTAACCTTGTAACCAAGGCTCTGAGCATGCCTGAAATTTAATACGCGTGCAATAACCTGTATCAACAGACGGAAACAGTTATTGAGCTATTATTTAGAAAAATCCTCTTTCCCACAACAGTTGAAAACATGTTCATGTTCAAGAGCGTAGTTCCAATAGTCATATACTACATGTTGTGCCAAATTGCACAGAAATGCCTCAAAAACAGAGCGCGCAGTCGCATTTTTGCTACAACAATAATCTTTCGTATAATGTACTCTTTGACCTTTGATTGAAAGTTTGTCAATATTATTTGATGAACTCATTCATTAATTAAAAGCACTGTTTTGTATTATTTAATGAAAATACCGGCTTAGCGTCATCATCTGAGCCAGTTGTTCAAAACCCGGTTAGCTTGATCCTGGAAACAACAGCAGTGCAGTTTATTAAATCTGGAAATATTTTTTCAGAAATCTTGTCTGGATCATCTGGGGCCAGTTGTTCAAAGCTGGGTTAGCTTAACCCAAGGTTAACCTAAAATTCGAAGCAAAACTTCCTAACTGTTTGAATGGTAGAACTTTTCTTCTCTGAAGTTTCGAAATAAACAGATGTGTGAATATAAACATATGTGACCGAAACAATTGAGGGTTAGTGCTGAATGCTGATCGTGCTTTGACCGGGCCCGTACTGTACCGTGAATTAATAGTGAGCTTAAGCAAGTGACGTTTTTGGCAACACGGACGTGGACCGGAAGTAAAGTTGACGTTTTTCACCAATCACAGCCCTTGACCCAGTCTTCTGACGTTACTCATGCCGTTCGTGTTGTCAAAAACGTCACTTGCTTAAGCTCACTAATAGACAGGTTAAGATACCCCGGTTCCAGTTTACGGGTACGGGAAGGTACGGGTGATATACACGTACCCGTAAACTGGGGAACGACCTGTAACTTAAGAAATCCAAGAACTCCGGCGTGAGAAAACCAATCAGAGAATGGCAAGTTTCGCTGTTAAAGTTCGCCATATATTTTTGAAAACTTTGACAAGCATATGCATGTGCATTATTTATTTGGGTTGAAAATTTGTACTATTTAAACGGCCCACAAATAGTAAACAGAAAACACCCGTACCCGTTTGTCTTTTACGTGTAGACCATGGTTTACCGCGGGGAAACGGGTAGAAATTACGGGTAAAAATGCTGACATCAGCAAAAATTGGTTAACAAAATGGCGATACTCGTACCCGTAAACCGGGGTATCTTAACCTCTCTAATGTGTGAAAATCGGGCCTACAAACCACCACGCAACAATCACGAGACACACCAATTATAGATGATTATAATAATAATCTTTAATGCACATTATAAATCGTTACAAGATAATTAACTAAGATATTAATTAGACAACCTGTTTTCTTCTTTAACACTTTGCGCAGAGTCGTTTTTGAAAGTTTATAGAATTGCGCATTCTTGGAAAACATTCACTCGCCACATTTGCAGCCATTTTAATCTATTTGTATTTATAGTATAAATCATTATTTATTGTACACTAAATTGTACTGTAAAATTCGTAAATACAAAACTCTATATAAACACTTAGTTTACAATAATCCTCGACAAATATAACCCATAGGAGATTCAACTAAATCCCGGATGAAACGAGGAAGAGAGTTGACAGTCACGCGACCTTGGTTAGCTGTTCTTAATGTTTTCCCAACACTATCATGTATTTAAGTTAAAACATAGTTGGAACAATCATCAAACCTTTAGTTTGTTAATCTGGAGCTTGAAATGTCTGCCGTAACAATGCGTGACTGCAAACTCTCATCCACGCTTGATCGGGGCTACTGGCCAGTGCCTAACTTATTTAGATTTCATTTCGATTGTTCATTGATATTGTTCTTCACTATCGTGCGGCCAACCTTCAGTTATCAGAGTGAGAAAAAAATGTTAATTTTTCATTGCATGCAGACTGTAGTAGTATTTGGAAAGATGTAGTTTAATTTTCTTGCTCTTATAGATGTCAAAATTAAACAAGTTAGTTATTTACTGTGTTTTAATGTGAACTACAACCGCAGTGACATCATCAAAATTTCCACCAGGGATAATCAACGAATCATCATATTTTTGAAGTCGCTCTTCACGTGGTGTGATCCTAGAGAAATTTAGAGATATGTAACGTGTCAGTTGCACAGTATAGGCACTGCATGTATCTTTAGGCCGAATTGCACCACACAACTTTTGCGTAAAACTGTCGCATGCAACCTGCTTACAACTTGAGTTTTACTGTTTAACGCAAGCACACAACTCGTCTACGTTGCATGTCGCAGGTTGTGAGCTTGATTTACACAGTACAATTCAAGTTGTAAGCAGGTTGCATGCGACAGTTTTACGCAAAAGTTGTGTAGTCTAAATCGGCCTTAAATACCTTCCTGGTTTAAGTTCAACGGAACGCGCAAGTGCTTCCTTTGTAAGTAGTCGTGAACGACCATCTAAGTCCGTTCCCTAAAGGAAAATAAGACACATTCTGATTTGTATTTACGCTGGATAGCTCTATCAGTTCTAAACTGTCCTCTCTAAATGTCCAGTAATGACCACTGATCCGTTATTGGTCCATGGTTAGGCTACAGGAGGAAAGAAAACTTGGAGAAAACCAGTGCCTGGGTGTTTGGTAGGAATCATGCAAACTCAGTTTGGCGATAGAACAATAATAAAACTCACATCTCTAGGTGAAGTTGAACTAACAGCAGCAAAAATATCTTGAGGATACATATTATCAAATAATCCATCTGTTCCAAGTATAATTAAATCATCATCTTCAATATCAAATGAATGGACTACAGCGTCACAAGGACTGTATAAAATAGAAGAGATATAGGCCTACGTTAATTCTTCAAAAAATCTAACTGCCACGCAGGCTATGTCAAAAATCACGAATAAGTTATAGTTGCTTATGAAGAAGTATGCGCTGTTGTTTGCTATTTTATAACTTTCTATAAATGCCATACTACAATGATCTGTCAAATGCCATACTAATATGATCTGTCAAATGCCAGATGATTTTAATACTCAAGGGAGTTGTTGTTTAATACAACAGGAAGTTGGAACCACAACATATTTGTCTTAAAAGTTTGCAGTTCAGTAGTTGACAGCGCTGGGCAGGTCTTGAATAATGTAAGTTTAGGTACAAAGTTGCGTTACTCTTGGTTTGCCCTTGTCATTAAGTGAAGACCTAACTCTATGGAATGACACCATTAAGATTTGAGAAAATGTCAAGGAAGATTTAGCTATGATGATGATAATATGGTGGTGATGATGATGGTGATGATGATGGTGGTGGTGGTGATGAATAAATACTAAAAAAATGGTGTCCTTGTTCTTTACATATTAAAATGGTCATTTCAAAAACTAAACCATCTAACCATACTCTACCTGTTGCCATGTGGCACAGCCTTGCCATCCACAATTTCTTTGACTCCGACTTGATAGGGTACATTTAAATCATGATACTGTTCTTTACTTTTGTAAAATGTCTCTCCATTACGGAAAAGACAAAAACCACTGTCACCTAAGTTTAACGTTTGGAGTTGACCATTTTCTTTGTCAAGTATACCAAGACAGGCTGTACTGCTACCTGTGTTTGTGGAGAAAGTAAATAGACCTTAGACTACATTAGAATGTTACTGCTGAGTTAAGCATATTTAGAGGTCAAACATGTACATGTGATCCTAAGGTGATCTGATGTTGTACAGAACTAACTGCTGAGTTAAGCATGGTTAGATCATGCAGAGGTAGTACGTGTTCTTGAATGTGAGTTACCTTAAAGTGATCTGATGTTGTACAGAACTCACTGCTGAGTTAAGCATGGTTAGATCATGCAGAGGTACTACATGTTCTTCAATGTGAGCTACCTTGAAGTTGTTTTTTTTTTGTTGTTTTTTTTTAACAATTTTATTGAGAATTCTACAACGTTTTAAACACAACAGTTCTATATAGAAATAAGTAGAATACTCAAATGGACAATATCAAGCACGAACGAGACATAAAGTCCCATGCAAGGTGCTTACCATTCTAAAACTATACAAAACAATAAAATAGAACAAAATACAATACAAAACAGCACAAGCATGAAACACAGTTATTAGCCGTTTTCACATCAGAAGACGGACAAGTCGTCCAGATGGACAAATCATCTCAAAATCGACTTTTAGTCGGACAAATCATCAGATGTGAAAACGTGTCGGACAAAATTGATCTGATGTTGTACAGAACTCACTGCTGAGTTAAGCATGGTTAGATCATGCAGAGGTAGTACATGTTCTTGAATGTGAGCGACGTTAAAGTGATCTGATGTTGTACAGAACTCACTGCTGAGTTAAGCATGGTTAGATCATGCAGAGGTAGTACATGTCCATGAATGTGAGCTATCCTAAAGTGATCTGATGTTGTCCAGAACTCACTGCTGAGTTAAGCATGGTTAGATCATGCAGAGGTAGTACATGCTCTTGAATGTGAGCTACCCTAAAGTGATCTGAAGTTGTACAGAACTCATGTGAGTAGCGTTACGTCAATCTATGTTTTTGCATAGTGGATTGACATACCAGCTTCTACTTGATTGTTCTGTAAAATCTCGCTGTAAGCAGAAGAAAGAAGTTCCTTGAGGTTTATTTTTCCTTGACAATCCTCCAAATGTTTCATACAGTTTGCCATCAGCATATTGGGAAAGAGCGACGGATCCGTACCAGCATGTCGCCATGCGCTTACCCCATCTGCAACTCCTGACAAGATGAAGTAATAATTATGGTACAATTTAGACAAGAGAAGGATAATTCCTGAGATGGGTAAATAGCGAGATTTTGCTTGATAGAAGTAACCGTTGAAAACCCATATGTGGTTGTAGGCGAGTTATGTGTTTGATTTATACAGTACAACTCAAGTCATGCAACAGTTTTAGGCAAAAGTTGTGTAGTGTAAATCAGTTTTTAGGTTCCTGAAAGAAACTGCTTTGCTGTGTAAATCCACTATGAGTAGAACAATTCCACATTTATAATACATACACATAGACTGACCAAGAGGCAAATTCATGACAGCTAGATACCGGTTGTCAGCAAAACATTACCCTATTAATAAGTCGCAATGCAGCCTACTTAATTTATTATTGTACTTTAATATTCCTATTAAATTCCAGGGAGAAAGTGTTGAACATTAATAATGGCTGTAGACCAATGTCTTGTGTTAGCCAAAAAGTTGCAATGTGCCCTATCTTGTCAATATTTTACTCTTGTCCAAAGATATACGAAATAAGTGCATCTATATTATGTACAGTACATAAAACTTGAAAATCCACAAAATGGGAAAAATTAAATATTCATATATAAATTTTCATACATGTAAACAAAAAAAGCAAACTTTATAGCCCTGACCCTACCAAAAGCTGCAATGCCGTTTCGATTCCAAATAAAATAGGCGTCTTCACAGGCCATTTTGTTGTGTGGAGCTCTGCAATGGGCACCGAAATGTGCTTCGTATTTCGCTTTGCTTGCGGCAACGTTTGTAGCAAAAACAGTTCTGTCTGTCGTCAAAAACCGGTAAAAAATTGCTCCTCTTCCATTCAGATTACATTTTCCTAGCCTGAAAACACTTCGAGTAGACATATTGTGGTTATTTTTGTAGAAAAATGTTCTCCATTCTCGTATAACGTGCACAATTTTTGAAAGAAAACTCTATATCAACTGTCAATTTTGACCAATTTTCGTTTGTTGACAATTTTGTTACTTTGCATTTCCCGGGGGACTGGGGAGTGTTTGTTTCTATTTTCCGGGGGGAGTTGGGAATCTAAGTGATTTATTTGGATTAGGGTTTAGATTAGGGCAGATATATGGATTACGATTGGATTTAGGACTAGATTTAGGATTGGGATCAAGGTGATCCTCTTAACATAACATGGCTGACAATGGCAGATGATATTGAGAGATTTTACTATGTCTATAGCTGTGATCTGGACGCTAATGTCTCACTGAAAATGTAAGTAATAAAAATCTATGTTTTAAATGATAATGTAATGTGAGCCTTGAATGGCTTAGCCAGCCGGGCCCATAGCCTATTGATAATGCACTTATGTTGCTAGTTCATCAGGATACTATAGATCAGTAGATGTCATAGATGATCTGCTTACATATTGCTTAAATTTTTCATTCTGGTTTTTCAGTGGAAATTTAGAAGGCAAACGTGAAAAGAGAAATTATAGAGCTTTAGTTGAAGATCCTCAATTACGATTCTCTGGCTTGTACCAAAGGTTTGTGAAGATTTCAATTGAATTTTGATGAAATTTTTCCCCTGTCATAAAACTTGTGTTTATTCATAGTTCATGCTCAGATCTCTATGTGAGTTGTCAGGTATATGCAGATGGTCAGCCATTATGTTTACCAACTAGAACAGCATACAGACCCTTTAACACAAGATGGAAGTAAGTGAAAAATGCTTTCACCATTCCCAACTTTCCTGATTCTTCTCTTTCCCTGTTTCATCACCCTTTTCCTGTTTCATCAGCCTTTTCCATCTCCTTGCTCACCTCACAAATGTTTCTTCTCCCATGTTTCCTCTGTTTATTCCCCATGTTACATGTTTATCCTTTTATGATTCCCTTGTGCCCTTACCTCCTTGGTATTCTTCTGTCTACCATATCCATATTTTACTGCCCCCCCCCCTCCTCTCAGCTCCCCCAACCTTTTTCTCTCTATTTCCTTCTTTCAGCTTTTGCACCATGTTACCTTCCCCTTGGTTATTTTCCCACTTCCTTTCTCCCCTTACATGTCAGCCTTCCAGCTCTATCTTCCAACTTTGTTCTTTCCTATTTTTCTCCCTCGACCATCCTGCTATCTCTTACCCACCTTCCTAATTCCACTAGCATATTTCTTTCCTTCAATTCCACTTTGCAAGCCTCCCCCCCTGAATCCATCATATTTTAATTCATCAGCAACTGTTTCTCTCTCGCTCTTCCAACTTTCACTCATTTCCACATTCCTTCTCCTACCCTTCTTTTCTCCCACACAAACAATTTGTCAAGCAGATTTCAGGTTGAACTGAATGTTGACAATGAATATCATCACAATTAAAGTGCATTTTTCAATGATATTCTAGTTGGAATGAATGGATCAATTTACCTTTGAAATACAAAGACCTCCCTCGCTCAGCTCAGGTTGCTCTTACAGTATGGGATGTTTACGGACCAAGAAAAGCTCTTCTAGTGGGGGGAACAACTGTTTCCCTGTTTGGAAAGTCAGGGTAAGTCATGCTTGTACAATGACATTGAATAAGGGCATGATTTACACAAGTAATGGATGATTTATCTGAATAAACTTGGGTCAAGAAAGGACAGTTTGTGTAATTACTGATAATTCATCTGTGTCAGTGGCAGACACTAACAGAGCAATAGCTTTTGAAAGTCTTTGAATGGTACAGTGTAGCTGCAACTTGAATGTTGGGTGACAGTGTACATAGCAAAATATGAACTGCAAACTTTTGTATCATGATGCTGCTCCTTGAAAAATAACAAATTTTGATGTTTCGAGTGAAGGCCCTTCCTTTTTTTTGGAAGTTAGTAGCATCCAGTTTATCTGCCATAAAATAATTTTGTTTCATTTTTAGGACATTAAGGCGTGGTATGCATGACCTACATGTGTGGCCAGATGTTGAGGCTGATGGTAGTCATCCTTCAAAAACTCCTGGAAAAACCTCGGATCCTGAAGATAAGATGAGCTCCCTGGCAAAGGTACTTAGATTAACTTTTTGATTGCCGTATCTCAAACATGCAATCCAGCATAGATACTATTACTGTTATGGCTTTTGTCTGAATTAATTAAATTAACTACCTGAAAAAGATATCTCAAATGTGGGGGCCAATGTAGGTAGTATTCTACAATAACGTGGTGGTCCAGTGTAGGTAGTATCGTACAATAAGCTGCTGTGGTTTGTGTCTGAACTATATGAAAAAGATATCTTAAACATGAGGGTCCAGTGTAGGTATATAGTATTGTTACAAAAAATTGCTGTTAGTTGTGCCTGAACTACCTGAAAAAGATATTAAAAACACTTCAAAGTTTTTAAAGAAAGCCTTTCGTCTGGTCTCACAGTGGACATTACAATACTAACTAGTTTTCTTTATTGTATATCATAGTTAAGTAAGAAACACCACAAAGGTCGAATGCACAAAGTTGATTGGCTAGATAGGCTGACTTTCCGTGAAATCGAAATGGTCAATGAGGTAATAACATATATAAAATATGATAATATGAATAATAGTAACATTTATTTAAGCATCATAGTAATGTTGAAACATTGCTGTTAGTGTGAACCATGGGCGTACCGGGCGGGCGGGGTGGGGGGGTGGCAGCCCCCCCAGTTTGTTGGGCAAACAAAGCCAGTCGGGCAATATTCGCTGCACAGTTGGGCAATATTGGCTTATTATAAAAATAAATGGAACAAATTCTGTGAATTTTGTGGTCAATTTTGTGATGTCTGGAAAATTTGTGTGATGTTCCGAAAAATTTTGGTATGTCTGAAAAATTTTGGCATGTCTGAAAAATTTTGGTATGTCTAAAAAATTTTTGGACCCCTAAAATGGTACACTGACCGAAATTTTTTTGGCGACGGGGGG